GCTTTTGTTAATTCCAGTGAGCTAGGGTTCAATATTTTTTGCTTTGGGGCAATAAAGGCTTGACAAAGAAACTTGAAGAAAAGACTGTTGATTCCTATTGTTTGTATGTTTTCTTGTTTTGTTTCTATACACAGCAAAATGGGAATTCTTCACCCATCACTCAAACAGGAGTTTTTAATTAAAATATATTTAAAGAGGGAGCCCAGCTCGCCATAGCGGTTTTCAGTGAGGCCTTCAAAATTAACAATGTATAAAATAAGTAATCACGTAATTAATAAGTCAAAACTCACGGTAGAAATATGAAATATCGAAAGTGATATCTACAGTACAATGTAGATATACTCTGAATTAAACAAACTGTACTTTAAAATTTGCTTGTTATACTTCACTGAGAACCACACTTCAATTTCTCACTGGTCCTCATTCTGACTACTACATTTTCTGTGCAAAAATTATTTCAAAACATTAATTGCACAAATCACAATCTTAATTTGCATTATTTATAGAGTACAGAAATATTTGTGCCAGCACGCGCTTGTTTGAGGAGACTTTGGGTTTGTTGTCAAACCTCTCCATCAGAACTTGCTTCACCCCTTCTTCCTTGCCTCTTTGGGATACCACTTGTAGGTGAGGGAGACCTAAACCTGAGCTTGTACACTTAATGGCCATTGAGGCGGAAATGTACTTCCCTCTAACTAATGGCTGCAGGATATTAACCAGAAGTTTCTTGGTTTTTTTTAGGAGCTTCTGATAGGATGCCACCCATGAAACTTTGAAGCTTTGCTGTTGTAGTAGTTTGACCTTTAGAAACTTGTTCACTAGCTGGTGGAGTGTTTGCACATCTGCAAGAGCATTGTGAGCTTCATAGGATTTACACAGAACATCTTGTACAGGGTTTTCTTGGCTATGGGATTTCCTTCCAAGAAGCAATTCCCTGAATGCTGGAAGAGAGTCTGTAAAGCCAGAAACTGTTTTAACTAAGTCCTCCATGACTCCATTTTTCTCTGCTGCTTGCACCAAGAACCTGGCATCAAAGGATTTGCAATTGTGTACAACTAAAATGTAAGGCATTCTTGACCTTCAATTTTCAATGAAGGTCTTCAGGGCCACATCAGTTGCAATGGCATCAGTGATTGGCTTCCCATCATAAAAGAGTATTCCTCTTTGGAAGGTGAGTTTGTTCACAGCAGATGCTTCTGTTGATATTACATTACAAGGCTTCATATAAATAGAGAACTCATCTTTACCATTTGTTGCTGCAATTTGTAGGATCTCAGCATCATTACCTGTTTTACGATATTGTAATCCAATTATTACTTGATAAAGATTTTACAAAGACAAATGTAATAAAAAAGCTTAGTGCATTTATGCAGGGTAATGTAAAATAAAAATAGAAGGAGTGATTCTGAATACCTGTCCTGCTAATTTGCATCTCACCTATTTAGTTTAAAGTGCACCTAAACCCAAATTTTTTTTCCCTTGACAAAAAAGCGTTTTTTTTTCTTGGAGTATTTCTATGCAAAAATTTTTTTATTTGCTCAAATCTTCAATTGTCTGTGCCCAGTCAAAATGCAGAAAATCGGCTGCTATCTTGGCTCACAACCGAGTTTAAAGAGGAATGGTTCTGTAGCGGGTAATGTGACGTCAACTCGAGAACACGAAAGTCTGCATTTCACACATTTTCACTTGTTTGGGAAGGTTGTCGTCGATATTGTCCGAAATATGCCAACTAGGGGTGTTGTATGGGGAATGTATGAAGCGCGATACCCTCTTGCAAATTTCGCACGTCGCTGCATAGTCCTATGTTCAACACACTTAGTCGCCATATTTTCGGACAATATCAACCACAACCTTCCCAAACAAATGAAAATATGCGAAATGTAAACTTTCGTGTTCTTGATTTGATGTCACATTACCTGCTAGAACCATTCCTCTTTAAACTCGGTCGTGAGCCAAGATAGCAGCTGATTTTCCTCATTTTGACTGAGCACAGAAAATCGAAGATTTGAGCAAATCAAAGAGTTTTTGCAAAGAAATACTCCAAAAAATACCCTTATTTTATTAAGCGAAAAGAAGTTTTTGGGTTTAGGTTCACTTTAAGAACAAGGCATGATAAAACAAAGGAATCTATGTGATGCAAATTATCAGGATGAGTATTCAGCAATCTAGCAAAATAGAAAAACAATTCCATCATTAAATATAATTATTCTCTAATGTGCAATTCAGAAATACCCTGCTAAGACAAACATCCTTATATTCACTTTGTTACGTTTTCACTAAACTCCACCCTGCAAAGCTAATTTCGCCTTCCAGATGTTTCCAAATCAGATATGATTTGATGGTAGTCTTTGGTCAATGATACTTTCTCAACCTTTGATGCTGAAGGTGGTACTGGAATTTCCTGAGCAGCATTGTGTTCATTAAAGCCCAATCCACACATATACTGTTGCCCTTCTCTGTTCTCAAGCAGTTTTGTCTTTTTCAACCGCTTCTCTTTCTTCTCAATTCTTTTCTTCTTGTACTCTTTTGTTTTCTGTTTCTCTTTCAAACTTAGAGCTTTTTTTGTCTATTTTCTTTGCAAACTTTAAAGAAATGGAACCTGGAGATAGTTTAGTCTTCATAAAAGGCTAAGAGAAATTCACCAGTCTGAGTGAAAACCATATTCTAAGTTATAATATTGTGATGTTTTACTGATTTGTTTTTTTTTTGTGACTTATGATATGCAAGGTACTGGTAGTACAACACTGGACATGGTGGATAATGTGTAATGTTCAAATTATGGATCTACACAAATTGGGAAGTGTACAAAATGCTCATAATATTATATCTGCTCATCTGGGAAACATAAGATTGACCTCAGTTCTTTTGGCCAGCAGCACATGCAGCACCGGAAGTCATTGCTTTCACTAGATCCATAGTGTCTGCTCTTTGGAGCTTTGCTTCCTATAGTATTGTTGAGTGCTTCAATTACCTGGTTCGACCCAAGGGGAGCCAGCTTCTTGGCATTTGAAGCATAAATCTAAATTGAAGAAACAAATGATTTTTATTCACTAAAATTTGGTATCTCATAAAAGCTTGTGAAACTGAGAAAGAGGTTGATAGTCCCCTAACACTTATAACTTTATCCCTTGCAGTTATTAATTAGAATACAATCATAAGCACTAACACTATTTTCTAAGAGTTGTGTTCCTCTACTACATGTAAAATGGTGGGAATTGGGAATTTATGAGGAGCGAGCTGTGCCACCATACATGTACACTGTACTTACTTCTAGGATCTTTTCCAGGGACTGCCTCAAGCTTTTGTCCATCAGATCCTTGCCATGGGGAAGGCCTCTGTGTTTGTAGGATGCAGAATTTTTTAAGTAGCCACACCAGTTGCCACAGGAAGAATGGTCACCATAAGCATGGGGCACAATAGACTTCAGACCATTTCGCACACCTTCTTCATCATCCTTACTCTGCTTTAGTGCGTAACCAAAGCATCGCTGGAAATACTGTATCACGATATCTGTCAGGCTTTTGTTTTGGGTCTTCATGCTGTAGAGTGAGCTACCAAAGGATCTTTCAGCATGGACTACGTCTGACCATTTTTTAACCTCATGCTCAACATTTTTCCTCACTTTGCTTATGGTGGACGATTCATCATCCCTAACAAGAACAGATACAACTACATTTTCTCTCTCCACAACTATTAAGCAGAGTAAAAGCACAAAAATAAAATTCTGTGCCATAAGAAGTGAGAGCACTCAAACTACACCTAGGCATAACATCTTAAAGTATTTTCTTTTCTGCATTTTCAACATACTCATATTATAAAATAAAAGTGCATTTTATGTTTGCTTTCTTATCAAATTTTGAATACTTATCACCAAAGGTGTAAGGTAATGTAAGACTTTCCACTGTTTATGGTTCAATTGTCATTACTATAACACTGATGTCAGAAGAACAGAAAAACTGTGAATTTACCCCTTAACAACAGTTATTATAACTGTTATTTTATTTTTTATTTTTGATATTACATACCTGGTTAGTAATAACCTTTTGACTAAATCAACACAAACATTAGCGAGCTTCGTGTTTACATTGGTCTCCCTCGCGTTGTTCCGGTACTACGGTGGGTCTTGTTTGTTCGACTGATATTTGTCTCTCCACACTCATAGTTTGAACAGCATATGTAGAGTAGCGATCCTAGCCCAGACACTGTTTCTTTTATGCAGTCGGAGAGCTGTAGAGCTGTTCCACAGGCTTCATAGCCTCCATCCAAAGCCTCAGCGAGGACATTTAATTCTACAGCTCGACGGCTGCGAAGTGGAAACCCATTGCAGACTTCCGGATCACGCACATTCTTTTCATTTTCTTGTTTTTATAGAGCAGACCAGGAAGCTTTCAGCCGATTTGCGGCATTCATATTGCGAATAAAAGCTTTCGCTTTGCAAAAGCGGCCCTTGTCCTTCTCATGCTAACGGGAAGAACGACCGCTATCTTAGATGTCGCAATGTTATGCGCAGAAAAGTTTGCGCAGTGCAAAACAAGGGAATCACCTTGAGTAAATTTGTCCTCCTGCTGAACAATCGTTTATAGGTCTTGTGGTTGATGCTATAACCTTTGACTGGGTGATTATATGGGTTGAATAAATTAGATTAATAAAACTTAAATTTGCCTCTGTTCAACTCAAACGCTCTTACAACCATGCCACTCTCTTTCCATCGCATATTATGGTTGTCGAAGACCCCTGAGCTTAAAAACCTCAGACTCAGCTTTAACAAAAATTGTAGCCTTAGAAACTCTTCCTGGTGCAAGAAATCAAAGAAGGAGCTTAGAACCGAAGTTAATGAGATTGCACTGTTAATAAAGAGATTTTGAGGTCATAAGAAATACCTAAGAAATGGAAATAAATTAAATTTAACATGTACTTAACGGGTAATCATGATTCCTACACTGAGTCTGTGTTATTGTGTCCTTTAGAAAAGAGCTTGGGAACTAGAACTGAAGTTTTTGGAGGTAGCATCTCATAAAAAAGGGAAAGTGTTTTATCAGGGTTTCTTGACCACGAGGAAAGTAGAAAATCACGCATATGTTTAGTTTATCTTTCTTTTGCTTCATTAACACATGTACATTTTGCTAGCCAATGTAATGAGAGGTGTTTTCATCTTAATCAGAGGCAGTTGCACTTTCCATTGACCTATGCAATTGCAATTTTGAGAAGCGGAAGAAGTAGCAATAGGTAAGTCTACCTGGTTTTGAACTGTAAAAGTTACCACAAGGAAGTTTTTGTGTTTGAACCTTCTAAGCCTAAAAGTACACAGTACAAAGATAATTGGGCTGTTCATGTTTTTTAAATTGAGAGGCTGCAGGCGACGAAAAAGTTCCTTTTTACTAGAGCTGGATAGTGTGTTGAAAGATTATGATTTTCACCGAGTGCAAAGTCTTGAAGAAAGGTTGGAAGGCCTGGACACCTTTACCCAAAACTTCTGGCTTTCAAAGTTCGTCTGAATAAACGAACAAGCACTTGTTCAAGAACTGCATTGTTTGGAAAATTGATTTCCAACCACGCTTGCTCATGTGCGTTGTTCACTGGGGTTATCAAGGTTCGAAATGGTGAATGAATGAAAAATTGAACATTATACCAACCTTTTTAGATATCTGGAGACGGACGGCAAACTCATTGTTCGCTCTCAGTAAAACTGAATAACAGCACGATGTTCATCGCATGTTATTCAGCACCAGGAAAATACCAATGAATAGCTGTTTTCCTTAATGTTTTTCTCAAGTTTTCCCTTCCGCGTGAACGCTGCATTTCCCAAACGTCTTCCCACAGAATAACTAATGGTGAATGCCATGAAAACATGACTGTTTGTGATTGTTTTCCTGCTCCACGAAAACGCTAGTATATAGCCTGTTTTCCTTATCGTTTTACTATAGTTTTCCCGAGCGCACGAAAGCTGGATTTCAGTTTCCAAGCGTTTTACCGCAGAATTACCAACGGTGAATGCCATGAAAACATGTTTGTTGACTNGTTCGCTGTTGGCATATATTTCTCGCAAAGCTTTAGTGCGTGGACCGTCGCTGGCGTTGGCAGCTGTGAAAGTCGTAGTAGTACGACTGAAACCCCAGCCAACTTGCTTTACATCCTTTGTTGTTTTCCTAAAAGATTATTGCCGCAGATGGATATTGAACCCGGGTTGGCGTGACCTGTTAGCTCGGAGATTCTTTTTTCTGGGCCGTGTTCACAGGATTTTCTCGCTTTCGGGTTGTCGCGAGCGAAAGAGGTTTTCATGCCTCTCCAAGAATTTGAAGTTCAGTTCAAAACAAGGAAGAACGTCAGGCTCGCTTTCAAAACGCTCTTTTTGTTTTTGCTCTTTAGAAGGTGAAAATGGTTTTGAAAGCATTTTAAATTGACTTAGAAATCAAACTTTGTAACAATTTGACGATAGTTGTTGTGCTTAGTGACGTAGATGCGAAACAATTTCACTTAGCCTCGTTTACAGCTCGCAAATCCACGCTAAATACCTCGCTTCGTTAACCAATAAGAATGCGAAGTTTTACTCAATGATGCGATTCTAGTCCATATTGAACTATTCATCGCTATGTGGTTCATTTCTCGAATCGATTTTTGTTTCGGCGGAAAATGGCGATACTAGATTTCAGGGCCAGATGTAAGCAAATTAGGCTTGGCAATCAGCAATTTTCAAGAAAACCTTACTCCTTAAATAAAGAGCCCGAAGATATTCACATGCAATCAGCCTATTTTACAACTTTTCTAGGTTTTTCACTGCAATTTCTGACATTTGAAAATAAATCTGACATTGTGCGAGATTTGAAAGATCCCCCCATGTTTCTTTATGGACATCCCCAACTAGCTTAAAAAAAAAAAAAATTACCCTACTACCTTTATAACAAATTAAACGAAACCTAGAGGTCAGACCCCTTTGCAAATGGGCTTTTAACTCATATGACTCTTGTTCTGGGGAAATAAGGCTGTAGTCAATGAGAGAGCGCTTAAACTCGCACATATTAGCGAAATCAAACAAGAGATTCTGCGACCGACCGCGACAGACAGATCTGTTATTTCCGCCCATGCTCAACAAAAAGCTCACTGAAAATGTAATGATCATTCCTGTGGTAGCTGACTCGTGCTATTTACATGTTTTAATTTTTTTTTTGTAACGTTTTTATCTTTATTCTTGTTTTATCTTTATCTTTAACATGTAGAGATTAACGTGCTCGTGAGGTTTGCCGGCTGGGAAGTCCATATAGTTAAAAACTGTAAGCTGGTCAACCTCGGGCTTGAAAATGCTTCCCGAGGTCCCAGGACTCGGGCAGCATTTTCAAGCCCGTGGTTGACTGGTTTATTTTTTCCTGCGGTAAATTGGCTTTCAAGTGAGTTTGTTTATACGCCACTGTGTTTTTTAATTCGCTCACGAGCCTTCTACAAACGATTCATAAATATTTTTCGCAACAACTAACTTAGATACTAGACACCAAAGTATATCTTACAGAACAGATACTTCTCAATTTTACCACAAACTAAGAGCAAATGTCTCCAAGGATCAAAGGAAATCGTAAATTAGGGGCAAAATTAAAATGTGAAAACTCGAAATTGTTCAAGTGGAGAATTGTTAGCAACATCAACATCAACGCCTGACTCATCTGAAGACTCATCTACACAATCGGAGTTGCCTTCTATATCAGTTAGGGGGTTCGGCCGCCTATTCGTCTGGGTACAACTGGAACAAAGCTTGTGATAGTATCGCTGGTCGAGGGCCTGATCTCCATCGTCGGAAGTTCCCATTGTTCAGGGACATCGCAGTTTTTCCAGGGAATACTTTTTCCAGAGCTAATGTCGTAGGCTCTCCACGTTCTTATCCCTTCCTGGCCGTAGCAAAGGTTTCTGACAAAACTCACTTTCTCCCACTTGAAATTCTTGATGGATGGAACATTGGGAGGACTGCACACCCTCACAATTACGCCGCACACACCCCTGGAAGACTCCATAGCTTCTTTCATCAGTGCAGCAATCTCAATGTCGTGTCCAGAATTCAGATATTTCGCCATGTATGACTTTATAGTGGCTTCCTTGCAATCGCAAGCGCCCTTTCCTTGACTCCCTATGGCTCAGGAAAGTCAATCCGAGAGATCTCAAGGTCATAACGTTTGGCAATCTGAGGAGCTGTAATCAGAGTCTGCGCACAATGATAACATCTAGCGTTGTAGCTTAAAATATAGACGTAATTTGGATATATCAACAAAGTTGAAATGGTAAATTGGCCACCGTAACGATTATAAAAGCTGACGTTTCGAGCGTTAGCCCTTCGTCGGAGCGTTAGCCCTTCGTCGTTCTTCGTCGAGCGTTAGCCCTTCGTCGAGCGTTAGACCGTCAT